AAAGTCAAAAAATACCATAAAAGCCATAAATTCACAATTATTTATTTACCATAAATTGGCTTGCTTTTACAACATTTAGTTTTATTTTGTAGAGTAAAAAGGCAAAAAAGTAAACAACAATTATGCCTCATATCCCGATAACTTCTAAAAAAACACGCAATAAAACCTTTTTATGTATTTTAAGCGAAGAATTATGTGGGAAAAAAAAGCAAGTCCGACTTCTCAGAATAACTTTTTTAACTTATATATTATAATATAATAACTATTAATTTTGACTTTTTCATCATACTGTTGCTAAAAATCAAATTGTCAGAATATCGCTGAGATACAAAATGGTCGAACGAAATAGAAATTAAGGCTGGAAATTTGGGGATAATTTCCATGCGCGATACACATCTGGGAATAATCACTTGATGGAAACAATCCTCTACGACACACTCTCCTTTTTTAAGGCATTCAAGCGCTCTTTGGTTCCTCCGACAGTCACACAGACTTACGCTACATACTACTGTCTCCCAAAACAGTTTTACGACGACTTGTATTGCGTCGTCGAAAACGTCATCAAAGACAAAACCGTCAAGGAATCCCCACACTTTCAGAAAAATATTGCCTCTCTTCAAAAGTTACCAAACCCAAATTTGATCGATTCTATTGTAAATGAGGAGCTCTGCATCACAAAACGGAGCGTCCGCCCAGAGTTGGTGCCACTCGTCGACTTTGTGTTGATCACTGACGAGTCCAACGATTTTATTATGGCACTCTACAAAGTGTACAAAAACGTGTATTTACCATCACCACCAACCATTGGGGTATTTTTACAAAACGGCAAACCATTTTTCGAGAGAGAGATACCAACATATAACGTCAAAGTTGTCGGAGCCTCTCACTCCTCAGACGATTATTTGATTAAGATTTCTCCATACATTTGTGTATCTGACATCATCAACTTCATTACTTACAAGCTCCACGTCCAAGGACAGTTTGTGTCAATTCAACTTTACGCCGCAGACAAAAAGCTTGCCTTGGATTTATCAACAAAACTATTAGGCTTCAACACGTCTGATTTGACACTCGTATACTCACATAAGAGAAGACCAAAAACAGAGCTTTTTGGTTCGTGCTCCTCAGTGAACAACCCACACAAACACCGAGTGATCAGCCCAGTCCTTAGGGAAATGTGGGCGTGTAAGTTGTCAGTGTAAAGGGAAGTGGATTTCCTTTTTTGTATTTCACTTTTTATAGTTATTCTTTAGCTTTATTATGATTTAATTTACTATTACAACAGTTCCATGGTTATTATTATTTTTTTTATTGATTATTGATAATAAAATTTTTTTAGCCAAAGATCAACATGAATTATTTTCATAAAACAAGAAGAAGAAAATATTTAGAAACTCGAAAAATAAAAATGTCGTTTGACAAGACTGTCCTTGTTTATGACATGGACGGAACTCTCACAAAGTCCAGAAACGTTTGTTGTACCTTAGTGCAATTTCACAAAGTCACAATAAGCCAATTACACAAGAGATGAAGGATTATTTAGAGGCTGTTTCCAAGAAAGTCGCGTTGTGTGTTGTCAGTGGTTCTGACTTACCAAAAATCCAGGAGCAGCTTGGTAAAGACGTCTTTTCATATTTTAAGTACGTCTGTTCCGAGAATGGGTTGGTTACATACAAAGACTCTGAGTTGATATGCAGAAAGAGCCTGAAAGAGCATTTAGGCCAAGCCAATTACAACGCCTTTGTCAATTATGCTCTTGTTGAAATTGCACAGTTGGACATCCCCGTCAAAACTGGTTGTTTCATCGAGTTGCGTTCTGGTAATGTCAACATCTGCCCTGTTGGAAGAAATTGTACACAAGCTGAACGCGATGCCTTTGGTATTTATGACAGTGAACGCCATATACGAGAAACCCTTGTCAAGAAATTCAAAGACAAGTTCCCAAATCTTGGCCTTGAATACGCAATCGGTGGTCAAATCTCGTTTGACTGTTTTCCGACAGGCTGGGACAAGACTTTTGCCTTGAACCATTTGAAGGACATATACACTAATATCGTTTTCTTTGGTGATAAAACAATGGAAGGCGGAAATGACTTCGAAATAGCTCACTCACCGATAGTTTCAAAGTACCACCAAGTTGCTGGGCCACAAGAAGTGATGTCTCTCATGAAGTCGATGGGTCTTTAATTCGTCGTCTTTTTAGCTTCTTCTTCGTTCAATTGTATTAATAAAGTTCTATTATAATTGAACTATATATTATAACAAAATATTAGTATTAAAAACCTAATTTGGGGAATTAGAAAAGAGTTAAAAGAAGTCCAAGACACAGTGCAAAGAAAGTTTGTTTGCATCCGTTGTGTTGTTCTGGAGTATTAGGCATCATGCTATATTTCAAACAAACTCCATCCTCAGTTGGTGGGTAGACAAGAGACATGTTATTTTCAGTATCACTACACATAG